CAGTGTACCCCGTGTCTATAAGAGAAATACAGGACTTAACTAGTCATTCATGAAACTCAATATATATATATATATATATATATATACTCTTTGAATGCATGTTTGAATCATGCACATGGAAAAGATTGAATGGGATTTATCCCGTATTGCATGGTGACTTGTAAAAAAATAATATAATAACTCAAAGGTGTATTCTTCTTCTCCAACTCTTATAATATCCATCATGTATTAGCATGCAATAAAGGACAGCTTCCCAATAACAATAACTTCTCCTGTGAACCTTTATATAAAAATAAGGAAATTGGTATGATTGCTAACGAGGCAACAACCAAGCAGAGTTTAAATGACATGGATATACGCAAATGTAATCACTGCATGGCATTCAATATTGAGAAAACTCCCTACCATATAGTCAACTATAAAAGGGTGCGACATGAAAATGAGATACAATTCAAACCGTGAAAACTAACTGTTTAATTGTTTACATTGTATATGGTTTTTAATTTGTTAATACAAATCAAATTTTCCTGACATATCTAACAACAATGTGTTTCTCGATTTTTGTTTTATTTACTCAATATACGTCTGTGTAGCTTTTTCACTTGATGGTTGCTGTCAAAATAATGTTTAGCCAACATTTTTGGTACTGTGATTTATTTAAACTGATTGATGCTTCAGTAATTAAAAAAAAAATCTTTCAGTTTAAATCTTGTTCTTATAGAATTGAAGCATGTTTATGATACAATGAAAATCCTGAATATTACATATTTTTTTTAATTCTTCACATTTTTCACATAAAATCTGTGTCCAGAAATCATCATTGGCTTGTCTACAAAAGAAAGTAAATATTAAAATCATATTAATTTTTGGTCACCAGCATAGCATATATGAAAAACAAATTGTTTGAAAAAAAAAACATCATAGAAATATATTGTATAAATAATTGTCCTGGGGCAAGCTGAATCCCGCTTCAGGATGCAAGATTATTTCGCTGCGTTGAAGACACGACCCATTGGTGGCATTGGGTTGTTTCATGCTCTTTTGTTGAGTTGGTGTCTCTTTGACACATTCCCTGTTTGTATTCTCTATCCAAACCATGCATGGATTTTTCTCATTGTTGAGGGCCATACAGTTGCCTATAATTGCTCACATTCACTTCATTTGAACTTCGGTGGATATTTTGTCTCATTGGTATTCATACCGCATCTCCTTATTTGTGTAATGTTGACATTTTGGTACTTTTATCTTCACTTTTTGTTTTAGTCTACATGATAAACTCTTAATCATGATGATGTCTACTTTTGGTAATTTATGTCATTGGGTTCACCGGTTGCTGCCTCATTAACAACTCCTTTCATTGATGCTGAATCTATTGTTTTACTGTCTTTTGTTTTGCAGAAAATTGAATGATCAGTGTTTTTCTCTTGACATGGTTTTGTTCAACATTAACAACAAAGAAACAGGTTAAGATAGCCACTTGGTATCTTCCCTGACAACATTTTTATTCATAAATGAGATTTGTGTGTGACAAAATGCCTTTTGATAGTGCAATAAAAGTGCAAAAAAATTTATTTTTCTATTTTAAGTTGACCAGTTCAGACTTTGTTAACTAACAGTATATATATACATTTTTAGATAGTGTTATATGAGTTAAACGAAATTATTTTTCATAACAACGTGTCCCACTTTTTACTGATCTGTATTGTATAAGCTAAATGCATTTGTTTTTAAAAAAAAAATCGATCATAAATCATTTTGACCGTTTAGTGTACTATGTAAAAAATGGCATCTTCTAGATACACTTTCTTTGAATGTGTACATCATTGTGTATCCCTCCTCTCCTCCCCTTTTTTTCTTTTACGCATATCAAGATGTAAACTCTTATATTTAGATAGATACAACAGTCTTATCTTAAATGAAGGTAATGTTTCGGCGTCATAGCACTTTTCCATCAAGTATTTATAAAGTTAAAGATACTACACATCAACCCCAAAATGTATTTATAGCGTATATGACTGTTCGAGTGGTCCCAGTCAACACACAAATTGACATTTATTGTATAATTATAAACTCGTTCGTAGCACAGACATGCATGAACGAATATAAATACTCAGTGTAGCAGGTTGCATTGAAATATATGTTACAGTGTGTGTTATAAAATCTTACTAAGGTTGGATGTGCTGATTTTTTTCCTTCGCGGCCATGCTGTATGGTGTTTTCCATGAATTGTATGTCGTCACAAAAATATATAAATAGCTTTAAACAACAATCGGTACACTCGGGCTTTTCAATAATATTATCGTAATGTCATTTCTTCCGAAGTCAATAACCAACTTCTTGGTTATTCGTCTTGGACATTATCTCTAACAACAAGCTAAAAAAGCCGATACTATTCCGAATGTCATAAATTACCATTTTTATATCACTTGTCATCCAGACGCTATACTTTGAAAAATAAAGCGGCTGGATGATCGAGACTACTGTTTTCAAGACCTCGTTTCATTCATAAATAACGGCTGTGTTTGGATATACGCCAGAGGTGGCCTATGGCAGAGACATATAATACATTATATGTCTCTGCCTATGGTTATCCATGGGTACCTTTGGTTTGATATTCTATATATCAAAATATCAAACCATGGGTACCCAAAGATACCTATGGGTAACCATAGGCTGCCTTAGGCGTATATCCAAACACAGCCAATAACAACCTTATTTGGCAAGATAAGTTAGAAATTACCACCCACTTATATAACTTTATTTCCTCTATCATAGAGATTTGTTGTACATGAACAATATTCCTGCGCATTTTGCCATTTGGGAAATATAAACGACTTGTAATTACCGATTTTTGGCAATGAAATATTTCATACAATTGTTCTTTGACATCGTAGCCTAAAGCACAGGGGATAATAAACTACGTACGGATTTCTATTGAGCACTACTTCCTATGTGCAACTTCAAAAGTTTTGGGTAGTTCGACGATCATTTAAGGTTTTTCTGGTCATATTTTTTGTATTCCAGAAATAAAAGTATTAAAAAAATGTCCAATTAGTTATAAATAACATAATAGCCAGCTAGATAATAACATTGGCACGTATTTCAGCATTTATTGGGTAGAACACAAATCTAGGGTGCTCGCATAAGGCAGCTTAACTGCCTAAAAACTGCAATTTTACTTATATGTTCTACGTTTAGCAAGTGGTCATGTTTATTGATGGATCAAATCCCTGGATAGTTTTAAAACCAGATTCCCAAAGGAACATTCAATTAAAAGTTAGGCAACATTTGGCCCTATACTTACAGAGGAGAGGACTTTTTAAATCATACTTTCCACCATTTATTGGGATGCACCAATATATAAAGCATTTATTTTCATTATCCAGTTTTAAGAGATGGTACAAGTTTGATTTCAGATACTCCTAAATGGGAATTCACCAGTGTTAACCTGTACATGACAATAAAAATCAAGACTATTCTATGTCAACCACTCTAGACCAGCAATAAGAACTAAATTGTGAACCTTTTTCAATCTAAAATCGAGAAGTGTCGGTTGCTACTTTTTCTTCAGCTGAAATGAATTAAATGAAGAATTACATCATATATTTACTTTTTGAATTCATTTATTAACTTCCAAATTTGAATATAAAAATACTATTACGAAGTGTAAACAGATGAAACTTTCTTAAGAATTGGGCCGATTAAGAATATTGTAGAAACTGTATGTTGACTTCTAGATGTCTTACTAGTGTTTACCTCAAATCTCATTTTTATTCAGACAAATGCCATATGCAGGAAGCAATTTCACGTTGGGCATTGCCACAAGCTTACAAGCTGGGTAATTTTGGAAAAGCAAATCATACCAAAAAGTTGAATTTCAATAATTATCTTCCATGTTGATTATATGCACTGCAAAAACATCTAGCAATCACCAATACCATCACCAAAAGCAACTGAGAATTCATGATTTTGTTTCTGTAGCAACATACTGTGAAAATTTATAAGACGTTATTTTTTTGCTTTAGTTCAAAAGCAGTGTTTATGTATAATTTTTGTGTGCATACATTTAATATTTGTTCATGTCACCTAGTGCAAAGATATCACTCTATATACCTTTGAACTTGTTTCTTTATTTCAATTCAAGTCAGGTGCTTGCCTGAATGCTGATGAGTAGATAAACAAACCACAGTATTTATATTAATTTTCTAAGTAATGTAAAAGTAAATTCATATCTTAAAGGGGTATAACTCTGGTTAAAATTTTTAAAAGTTTTGAGAATGTTAAGTGGATATATAAAATTTTTAATAATTTCCAAAAATTTGTACTCCATTTATCATCCAGAAACGACAAAATTTTGAATTTTTCCAACAATCAATATCATAACTATGGAATGGTGACCGTAGAAATGATGAAATTCAAATTTAAACTGTAATTAGTGGTCCAAAACATTTCATTATACAGGGGTTCTCCATTTATTTTCCAGAAACCACAAAAAATTTTAACAATCATTGAAGTACCAAGACTCAATGGTTCTAGTGAAACTGACGAAAATTAAACTTAACCTGTCTATGGTAGTTCAAAGCATTCCATTTAATTTTAAAAAGCAGTTCTCTATCATCTGGAAACCAAGTGTGACGGACAGACCGACGGACATGAGGATTCCTATATATTCCAGACTCCGTCAAGCAGGGTCATGAAATGTAAAAACTGTGACTAAGATAAAAAAATATTCTAATTACTGTTTTTTGAGAAGGCATAATTTCTGAAAGGCAAGGGCAACCTAGAATACCACCCATAATTTAAGTTTTATAGCATATTATCAGGTTTTTGAAATTCCTGGTTGGCTGGTAGGGTTTCCAAATTTGAAGGCAAAAAAATAAAACCCCAAAAGCACTGCCCATTGAATTCATTTCAAATGGCACCACAAATGAACAGTATACTTCTGTGATGGGTCATTTACGTCAATGGTGTAGATTCTACTGTAAATGTAAATAAAGCAGTCTCATGACAACATGTTTATTAGTATAAAATGAACATTTGCTAATTTACATATAAAATAATGATTTATGATTGAATGAAAATGACAAGTCAAACATAAAATTTATTAATTTTAGATGTTTTAGTTCAGAAAATATAAATCATGATTGAACAAGTGGCTTCTAGTCAGATCTGAGGCAACTGACCAAAACTATAATAAACAAAGATCTTGTTTTGTTTAAGGATGTTAAATTAAGAATTCTAGATTTGGATTTGAAATTATCAACTTATTACAACAAGTCCGATAACATGTAAATATACAATGCTGCATCTTTGCAGTCCTGTTTTTACAATACAAAATATTCTGATTTCACATGGAACACCACTGAACACTTATTTGCTAGTAGCCATAGGATTCCTCAGAACCAAGATAACAGAATCTCCTCGTAAGAACATTTTTGAGATATATCTGTCCTTGTTCACTGGTTTGGATTTCTTCTTTCCTTTTCCTGTTTTAGGGGTCTCTGTCCACATTTCCTTCACATTTTCCAATACCATATTACAATGTCTGAAATGATAATAATAGAAATCAGATGCTAATGTGAGGCAGGTGCTACATGATGAGCTCTTAAGGTTGTTGGTATTTGGATTTTGCATGTTTGTTTTACTCGTTTTTACACATTTTTCTCCAATCAGTTGCATCACTGCAGTATTTAATTTTTTTTTTACCATAGTCAAACAGAACCCTTTTTGGATTAAAATTTTGATGATTTGATCAGACACAGGTTAATTTTAAAACTGAAAAAATGTCCTTCCACACCCTGAACAGTTGGGGCAAAAATGGACACAATATTCGCGCTTGATACAGGTTTGAATTTGGATTGTAAATAAATATTTGACACCTAATAGGTTTCTGACACCAAATACCTGTAGTCAAAGAACTTAGAATTGGTTATATGATTTTAATTTATATTCAATTTTTTGCTTTCGTGCAATACACTATGCTGTTGCGAAATTGAACTCCCCTCCCCCCAAAAAAAATTCCCCCCCTTTTTTTTTGCTTTTGAGAAATACACTATGCTGTTGCGTATTGACCCCCCCCCCCCCCCCCCCCCAAAAAAAAAAAAAAAAATTAATACCCCCCCTTTTTTTTGAAAAAAGAAATAATATTTGAAGAAATTTTCTTTTAATTTCTGAAATCTGAAATGAAAAAAAAAAATTGCCCCCACAATTTCTTTTTTACCCCCCTCCTTCCCCCCCCCCCCCCCCCCAAAAAAAAATTCTTTCCCTCAAGATATGGTCATAATCTCAATTCAAATTTCCAATGGAGTTTGCAACCATAATTACCAATTTAAATACATCATAAAAGTCTTAAAATAGAAAAAAAAATCCCCCCCCCCCCCAAATTTTTTGAACCCCCTTATGATTCATCACCCCCAAACTCAATCCCAGCCTTCCCTTTGTGGTATGGTACTTTGCAGTACAATTTCAGAGAGATCCATACACTTGAACACAAGTTATTGTCTGGAAACTAGAAAAATGCTTGTTTTTTGGCCCCAAATTCCTAAACATTTAAGGCAATTACCCCCAAACTCAAACCCAGCTTTCCCTTTGTGATATGGAACCTTGTAGTACAATTTCATAAAGATCCATACACTTACACATAAGTTATTGTCCTGAAACTAGAAAAATGCTTGTTTTTTGCCCCTAATTCCTAAAATTTTGAGGCAATTACCCCAAAAATCCATCCCAGCCTTTCCTTTGTTGTATGGTACCTTGCAGTAAAATTTCTGAGACATCCATACACTTGAACACAAGTTATTGTCTGGAAGTTACAATAAAACTGCTTCGCTTAGCGCAGCTGAATACGCCCGCAGAGGTCCAACCCTGAACAGTTGGGGCAAAAATGGACACAATATTTAAGCTTGATACAGGTCTGAATTTGGATTGTAATTAAATATTTGACATATTATAGGTTTCTGAATATATGTAGTCAAAGAACTTGAAATTGGTTATATGAATTGAATTTATATTCAATTAAAGATTTCTTGCTGTATGCAATACACTGTGCTGTTGGGCAATACTTAGTAAATCTGTTGTCAGACTATAAACAAATAAAGTTCAATTTCTTCTCAATGTCATATTTGAAATTTATGAAAATCAATAGGGAGATTACATCAATAGCTATAAATAATTCACCAAAGTTTCATGAGAACTGCTGAAATCATTTTTGAGTTATTGTCCAAAAACTGGAAAATCCCCCTTTTTTAATGAATAAAACCCCATAACTCAGAAATGTAAAATCTAAAATTTATAAAATTCTAAAGGGAGTTTACATCAACAGATATAAACAATTCACCAAAATTTCTTGCAAGTTGGTGAAAGCATCCTTGAGTTATTGTCAGAAAACTGGAAAATCCCCCCTTTTTTAATGAATAAAACCCCAAAACTTGGAAATGGTGAATCTGAAATTTATAAAAAACGAAAGGGAGCTCACGTCAATAGATATAAACAATTCACCAAAGTTTCATGCATATTGGTTAAAGCTTTTTTGAGTTAATGTCCGACATGTTGACGACGAATGGACAGACGGTTAACGGTACATGTATACCATAATACATCCCGTAAACGGGCGTATAAAAATGCTTATTTTTTGCCACTTTTTAGCCCCTTATTCCTAAATGTTTTTGGCGATTACTCCCAAACTCAATTCCAGCTTTCCCTTTGTGATATGGAACCTTGTAGTACAATTTTAGAAAGATCCATACACTTACACACAAGTTATTGTCATGAAATTAGAAAAATGCTTGTTTTTTGCCCCTTTTTTGGCCCCTAGTTCCTAAAATTTTGAGGCAATTACCCCCAAAATCATTCCCATTGTGATATGGAACCTTGTGGTACAATGTCAGAGAGATCCATACACTAACACACAAGTTATTGTCTGGAAGTTACAAAAATGCTTATTTTTGGCCCTTAACTGTTGGTTACATAACCCCCAAAATCAATTCCAACCTTCCTTTTGTGGTATTGAACCTTATGGTAAAATTTCATAAAGATCCAGTCACTTAAACTAAAGTTAGAGTGTGAAAACCAATGTCATACCAATATACCACAGCAAATTTTTTTTGCGTTTTTGCGGTTGTATAAAAATAATGTAGATTACTATCATTAATACATATAGTTACACTTTTTGTTATGGTTAAAGAAATGTACCATAGAGAGAATTTTCTTAATGCTACATTTTTTCAACCATTGCAAATAGCTAGTCCCACCTCCATTTTTTTTTATAACAAGTTAATTTTTTTTACTTCTTGAAGATGCTCAGCCCATCACACTCGATTAATTGTTTGTGATGGTTCGGATCAGTTTACAAATGCATGCATTGGGATATATTAATGCAAAGTTCAGTCTTGCTGATATACCCACCTATCAAATGCTTTCACTCTGGCCAATAACTTCTTGTTATTCCTACAGTTTATAAGGACTTGAGTGTTGTTCTTTACTGACTGAGTCAGGACAGACAGGGGACCAGTATTAAACTCTTCTTGTTCCCTCTGGGACAACTCTTCTGGAGTCATCTCACTTTTAGGTTTTTGTAATAATGCACTGAAAAAGTAAAATTTAATATCAATAAACGGTGAATTTTCATGTTGTAAATACTGGTGGTGATACAATCTGCAATATCTATATGCTTATTCAATATAATAATTTATAAAATAGGTACCCCAGCTAATTTCCATCCTTGATACATGATACAATACATATTACATGTATTTAATACATGTAATATGTATTATGTATTGTATCATACATGTATATCAAAGATGGAAATTAGCTGGGGTACCATTTAAATTTAATTTTAATTTCCATACCTATATATGATAGCAGTCTTCACGCTCAACCACAGGCCCAGCAGCCCAGGTTTGTAAAATTGCTTTCAGGCCTGTAAAAATCATCTCTACAGAGCCAACAGAATCTTGAAAAATTGAGCTCCGAGCCTGTAGATTTAAAAGTGTATCGTTAAGACTGTGATAGGGTCATTAATTGTTATCATTCAAAATCCTTGTTTCACCACGATTCACTCAATCACATTAGCTTGAGTATATACTGTACTTGGTAACACATTTCTTCTTAAGGAGACAAAAAACCCTATTAATGAGGTCAGAATGTTCCCAAGAAAAAAATTTAAAAAGTAACATACATTTGCCAGAAGTGAAAGAAAATACTTCATTAAAAGTTGTTTCTTGGAAATAACATACGACCAATCTACAAAGTCAATGCTTTCACTAGGTTTCTAAAGATATACATTGTTTAACCTTTCATCAACTTCATAAAAAAAAATTGCCAATGATGAAAACGACTGTTGTGAATTGCTTTTGGCGGTTGGGAAATAGCAAAGTGATGGACTGGAAAGTGACTTCTTTGCCCCAATTGTCTTTAAGAAAGTTGTTAAAAAAGTTGTGGAACCTTGCCTTTGTTTACTACATTGTAGGCACATACATGTATTGATGAAATATTTCATGCATATTCAGGACAATGACCAACTGACAATTAATCTAAGCTAGAAACTCATGGCAGAGGGGCACTGTCCAATAAAAAGGTCATTTTTGAGTGGATATTATTTTTACATATTCTATTTTGGGCTATCGAGGACTCTAAAGAATACAACTGGTATTTTATTTTGGAAATGCACAATTTCATGCTTTTCTCATGGATTTTATTCTGGGAGAATACGTTTTATCTATTAGTTGAAATTCATGCAGTGCTTTAAACTAGGTTTCAGTAACCAAGTACTATCAAATCTATTCTTTGTGCCTTTTCCTTAGTTGATTTTGTGCTTTAGTACCTATCTGATGAGTCACACCCTTTTCAACTTGAATATTCTCAGTACAATTTAACGGCAAGTCCAGGGGTTTATCTGGGTATTTTGGGAAAAAGGATCCTGGTCAGTTTTGGGAATTTTTTAACGCGATTATCAATGAAATTGGGAAAAACAACCAATATACCAGATGTTAGTTTTAGTGTATTTAGTTCATTAACAATTTTCTTTTTTGGTGAAAATAAAGTAAGAAACTACATGAATGCTATTAATAATTCAATGTTCTTTTTGGTTTTTAAATTTAACAACAAGGCACTCAAGTTTCTTCTAATATCAAAATAACGAGTTCTTAAAGCACACATGTGATAAATATTTACACCCCCTTTTTTATCTTCAAAGACAGTAACAGTAAACATGGTTAATATAATAAATAATTCAGGGAAAGAAATAAGATGTATTTTAACTGGCCAAGCAGGCTAACATTGTTTTTAAATCCATTTGCTCTTCTAGATTTTTACTGGCCCTTCAAATCTAGAAGAAATTACCTCTTGGATCTGTAATTATTTGTTTACCTTATAAAAACATATATTATAATATCAACATTTTTTAGTGATAAAGAAAAAAAAGCATTGTCACATTTAATTTGATTTTGACATGAAAATTTGTGAATATAAATTTGAGTTTCTGTATAATTTAAAATACTTCCTGTTTCTCTTTTCTTTGTCATATATCTTTTAGTTTTAAGCTTTAGTGTTGCTGTTTCATACATCAGTCAGGGGACTTATTTAAGTAGCAAATTCGAAGTTTTGTCACAAAATGTGATTTTGTAGTTTTACCAAAATTTTAAACACATAGCTTTAGATAATATCTTTTCATTAGTAAAATTGAAAAAAATAAACTTTTTGCCTCTTTTAAGCATCAAGGTTTATGCCTTTGATGCAATCATTTAGCTGCAAATTCTATTTTACTTGAAAAAATGCTATAAAAATGGCTTTACATAATGAACTGATACTTTCTCAACAGATTTTTCCCAGCAGTGGGAGTATTTTTCCTGTAAAATTCAAGGTTTCATCTTATAGATTATGTAATAAAATTCTACTGTTCGCGATCAAAATTTCACTGTTCCGGGGGTGTTGAAATTAGTGGGGGTTATTAAAATAATGATACTTTAAGAAGTGATTTTTATGTCATTATCCTAGATTTAGTACAAGGTCATCACCTGACATGACCTGGTCATCCTATCAACACAGATGTTGGTTCTGATAATTTTAGCAACATAATTAGTTCCTGGATCATTAGTATTCTATATTTAAAGCTACAATAAAATTAAATCACTTAGTCTAGTGATTAATTTGTACTACTTAAATAGGTGATTATTAAAGAAAGACAACTCTTACTTCCAACCTTTATGTACATAATGTTACTTGAATCAGTGATTTAGAAAATCACTCATTTAAGTAAGTCCCCTGACTGTACATGTAGCTGTCACATGCTTAGATTTAAAAAAAAAAAATTATTTATTGTATATTTGATCGGCAAACCCGGAATTAGCCTAATCCGTTTCCGGAATCTGGTCCGGTTTTGTAATTTTCTTCACCTCCTGTTTATGGCAGCCATTGTTTGTCAGTCAATTATGTTTTTTCTCGGATTTACACATTAGTTGTTGACGATTTTCGGCATAAAGCTAGCGGTTGAATAAAATGAACATCTCTGTCGTGAATAATAAAGATGAAAATGAATTTTGTGATCGTTTGGGAATTTTGCTCTCAAAATTGGGAAAAATGTAGGGTTTTTGCCGTTGAGAATGGGTCCGAATACTGGACCCTGTGGAATGCTAGAAAAATCCATGAAGTCGTAATGTTGAAAACACTTTTACGGTTTTCTTGAATTGTCTGTATATAAATTATAAAGAAACTAACTTAAGGTTTCAATATCCTCAGTTTTTAAAGTCCTTTTTAGTCATATACTCAATTGTTTCGGTTCTTATACATCCTTGGCTTTCAATTATTCGGCTGTATGAGCATTCCTGATAAAGGAAAATCCAGAAAAAGCACTTTGGATGCTTGAAAAAATTTTAATAAATTTATAAAATGTTGTTTTAATTTTTCTCTACATTTTGTTTCAAGAAAATAATAAATTTATAAATAAAAGGTCAGTGGGTACAATATTTTATATGTAAACACAATAAATGAATGGTGACTACATTAAGATGTTGGCTGCAAAATACGAGATTAATCACATTTCTTGTTTTCATGGAGTTGCCAGTATTATGTCTCTTGACTTCCCAACAGCATAATTGCGTGACTGGTACATTTGGAGAGCCAATTGATGATGGGTAAACTGTGGCCGAAAGTTGTTTACATACTAAGTAACTTATCCGTAGATAGTTGTTTCATTGTCAATCATTACCGGTACCACATCTCATTTTTTTTTACTGAAACAAGGAAGGCCCTTTTCTGTTTACCAGCTATTGTACTTTCTGTTTTTAATTTGTTGACGAAGGCTTAATTTGTATTTCTAAAATAGATTCTCGACAATATTATCTTCAGCATCTATTACAGTGTACGTGCAATTTATAAACAAACACTTGTGGTGGTCAATACAACACCATTATCATGTAATCAAGGATTAGAATAATGCAAATTGTGATACAAACATTAATAAATATACTTAAATAACTGATTAAGGATATTAATCTTTGCTTACGACATGATGATGAATTGATGCAAATAGATTATTTGCAGTAACAAAATATTTGGCTGGTGCCGCCGCTTTAACCGGAAGTTGATTGTTATACGTTTGAAACTGGTCCCCCAAATATAACTGCATGAACTGGTTGAAAAACCACCACGAAACCAGATATCATTTCGGATAATTCGAGTAATCATTTGAGTGTTTTCTTGTTTAGAGTATTTATTGTGATAAAAAAGATCAAATTTTACACTGATCAACCGACCGGCGAACGAAGAAAGATACGACACGTCAGTAATTACACACGACAAACAAGACATGTAAGCTAAATTACCTTCATACATTTGTATATTTAGAAGATTCAAAATTGAGGAAAAATATTCAAGAGTTTGGGGAACGCTTAACTTAAGTGACACTGTTAACAACAGGATGAGACTTCTATAACATCTAGTCATAGTACTATTAGTAGTCTCAGCAACAGGCTAAACTTCAATTTTTGCTAAAGTCTTCACGAAAATCATGTTAACTTTAAAATACTATATAGTCCAAAAATAGCCCCACAAGACCTAATTTATGTATTAATTGTACAAGCCCGAAAATCAGTTTTTCATAAACAACAAAAAAAATTTGTAAAAAGGCTGTTTTTTCAGGAAATAACTGGCCAAGGTATCAGGTCAGTTCGCGCCCAATACACGTTCGCACCCTACACGTTCGCACCCTGGGTCCGTTCGCACCCTTTTTTTTTTAATTCAAAAACCTTATGAATTATTAGATGTTTTTTAGATATTTATATCAAAATATTTTTATTTTCATAAATAGAAATTTGGTAATATTTAAATGAAATATTGTTTTAAATTAATTTGATGATTAATTATTATAATTTTTATATGGTGTTTACACAGCTAAACTTGGTGTTATTGTTATGTTTTTGAAAATCGTGATTGTTGTTTTAACCAGCTTTGATGTAAATTCTGCATGAAGATAGCATGTATTTAGCTTGGTATGAGTAAAAACAATGAAGATTCAAAATGTTATTGTTGTTGAGTTAAATAGCAGTTTAGTATCTTAACATTAAAAAAATATTCAACACAAAAAACCTTTTTAGAAAGTCACTTTATTTTGAAACAATGAAAAAAAAAAAAATAGCAATACACCATGATACACTAACCAAAACACAATTAAAAAATATTCAAAACAAAAAAAACGTCTTTTTTTTTGAAACAATGAAAAAAAACTTATTTATAGCAATACAATAACCAAAACACGATTGAAAAATTATTCAAAACAAAAATCGATTTTGGAAAGTCACTTCATTTTGAAACAATGAACAAAAAAAATTATTTATAGCAATACACTAACCAAAAAACGATTGAAAAATTATTTAACTCAAAACCAATAAAAAGGGTGCGAACCGACTCGGGGTGCTAAAGTGTAGGGTGTGAACGTGAAAGGGGGCGAACGTGAATGGGAGTGAACGTGTTTTTGGGCAAACGAACCCGGATTCACTGACCAACAACATTTTTAGTGGCCTATTGGCCTATGCCGTAGTGCATTGAAGTTATCCATCAAATGTTAAGACTATGTAATGGCAAATTAAAATTTTCCTTATTACTCATTAACTGCATTTGAAGGCATGAAAAAAAATGTGATACATGTTGATTATGTGTCAAAGAACTAAGTCAAAGCTATATAATGTTTTGTCTGTTGTTGTTTGTCCTGTGTTAGTGGTTGGTGTGGTAGAATTCTAGTCATTTTGGCACCTCATGGTTAAATCAGCACCCATTATAGTCAATTCGGCATATAGTCAAATAGGTACTTGGTTAATTCGGCACCAAATGTAGTTATTTCGGAACCCAAAATGAATATTATGTTTTACAAATAAAGTTTTGAAGACTTCAATTTTTATAAAGAAAAAAAATATTTTCACTCGAGGTTTCAATGTATATTTGTTGCGCGAAATAGAAGTTTCAATGGAAACTTAGTTATAAACAATGGAGCCATACTATATGTTCCTATTGGAACTTATATTATAATGGAACCTCTATTTCATGACAACTGCACATGACTTATAAACATGGGCTACAAGATTTATGCCAACGTCATTCATTTATACAAGCTTGAGTAGACAAGAAATGCAAAAAAAAAACAATTTATATTACAATTGGATTAAATTAGTTTTTATCCTCATCTGTGGATTAAACATCTGCTTGGCTAATGGCTTCTTTGTGTAATTTTTTTTTTAATTATAAAAGATCAAAATTTGAAAAACTTCCTGAAAATTGTTAAAACAACAAACAGGTGATTTTTTGTAATTGATATAAGTTTTTAAAGTGATAAACAATCTTAAAAGAGTACTAGTATTGAGAAAAATTTAAACAGAAAGCCAACTGATTATTGTTTATTGTGTATTCTTACTGCTTTTAAAAATTTGAAATACCAAAAGTCCATGACGCCTGCTTCTGACAATACTTATTGTTAGAAGATGATGTCAATGAGACAGGAACCTCTTGACAAAATAAACACCAAAAGACATCTAGAGTTCAGCACACTGCAGTATGTTGAGCTCAAACATAATAAACCCTAGTCAAGATATTAAGGTGTGAAAAAAATTGACAGAGACAATCAAGCATCTTTAAATTTCCCTTTTACAAGATCTGTCAGGATGTGTGACTTTATCATGTCAGAGAGATTGTCAGTAAACATTATATGATTTTAGAATGAAGATAAGCTGGGTTGTAAATGGTCTGTTGGTGCTGTTGATGGTTGTGGAAGCTTGGGCAGGAGAAGAAGAAAAAAAGAAGAAATTACAGATTGGAGTAAAGAAGAGAGTAGACAACTGTAAAATCAAATCTAGAAAGGGAGACACTCTACACATGCATTACACTGTAAGTGTATTATACACATCTAAAAGAAAAGATATTTATACTTATGCATATAGGTGATATACATACATACATTGACATAAGTGTTATCTTAAGTGGAAGGAGAAACACTACATACATGACATATCATACATGTCATATGTATATAACACTGTAAGTGTATTATACATATCTACAACAAAACAACTATTTCTACATATAGTTTTCAGTGTTCTCCCCACACATTTTATATAGCATCCTGGTAAACGGGGAATTTAAAATACCATCTTATTCTAGAAATTTTAGCATCACATCCATAACGACAATCTATAAAATAAAAATCTCAGATAGCATCAAACTCAAGCAGTATAACATCACATTACCATGATGGTAAAAGGCCACGGGGAGAACACTGGTTTTATATATTACATACATATTTATTATTCTGTAAGTGCATAAGTCTAAAAGGAAGTACACTACTTGTACATATACATTTGTAGATACTTAATTAGATATGCATGATCTAAAGTGTAAGAAACCTTAACATTGATATTCACTGTACCTGTAAACTTGTGCATCTAGTAATTAACAAGGTTTTTCTTACAGGTCCTTGAAAACAGTTTGATACACAGTTGAAAGATACCCAATTTATGTTGTGCACTTTATATGCACTTTTCCAAAAAAAAAAATTCCAGCATTTGTCCAGTGGTAATCAAAACAAAATCAATCGATATTTGATTTCAATGGAACTTTTAAGAGCAGTTATGAAAAAAAAAACACCAAAAGTTTCCAAACCAGCTAAGCAAACCTGTACAGTGGCAGAATAAAGTAAAAAATTAAGATTTTTAATCTGTTAACTGAAAAGTCCTCAAGTATTGATATCAAAGTAATATCATTCAAGTATGATCAGGGCCTTGGTGACTGAGTGGTCTAGGTAGTTAATCTACTGTATAAGTTGCGTTAAACACCAGTAATCAATCATTCCAGTATAGAATCACTTGATACCACGCTTTAAACAACAAAATTGTGCTTAGTTTTTTCTGTGAGAACTACACTAAGAAATATCATTCTCTCTTGTGGTTTCACTCAAGATGAAAAATGTTCATTATATTTTGAAATTTACAGACGTTAATGTTGCTTGAAACTGATAAAATACAAAGGTTTCGCATTTTGAAAAAGAAGGTTGTAAAGATGTAGACAATTGTGAAATTATCATATTTTTATATGTTTGTTTTCTGTCTTCATCTAGACATGTCATGCATGTAGATAAATGTTTTGATAAATTTCAGGGCAAATTGGAAGATGGTACAGAATTTGACAGTAGTATACCAAGGAAAGAACCATTTGTTTTTACATTAGGAGCTGGACAAGTTATTAAAGGATGGGATCAAGGTTTACTGGGGTAAGGATTAAAAGATCTGGACTTGGATTAGTTAAAGAAAGGATATTATAAAAGTTTTGCCAGAACTAGTTAAAAGTATGGGGTTGAGGTTCACTGGGATGAGTTTAAATAAGGTGACATGAAGATTTACCTTGGTATTGGTTAAAGGGGTAAAAGGTTATCTAATGACTAAATTTGAGAAAAATTCCTAGTGAAAACCTTGTCATTAGTAATTATTAAAATATCAGCTTTGAAAATTAACTACTAGTTCAGTAATGAATTACTTTTCATTTGATTTCTAAGTGATTTTTATGCCCCCGCTGTAGGCGACAGGGGCATGAAGTGTTACCCTTGTCCTTCCGTCTTTCTGTCCATCGGTCCCATTTTCGTTTGTTTGAAGCTTGAGCGGGGGCATTCGTGTCTTCAGACACACATTCTTCTTTTATCTTTATAGATTTCTTTTGTTATGACTGTCAATTAATTCAGTTCATACAATCAAATTACATCTTAACAGACTTACATATATGTACTAGATTTAAAAGCTAAGTACCTGGGTAACCACTTTTTTTGACAGATGAAATATTGTGTTCCCTTGAATCTATGTGGTTATTCAATATATAGAAAAGATAGAGATATAATTTGTTACTATCTTTTTGCAGCATGTGTGTTGGAGAAAAAAGGAAATTAGTCATTCCTTCAGATATGGGATATGGTGATAGAGGAGCTCCACCAAAAATTCCAGGTAACTTTTTAGACGAAGATAACAATAGTTGAATACAGTGTTGTGTTTTTCCAGTACAAACATTGATTGATTAATTATTGGTTGCTTAACATCCAGTGCAAACATTGAAATGAATAAGTTTATAATTATAATTTTCTTTTACTTTTTCATCTTAATACCATTTACTGTCATGATATAGAAAATGTGACTAGTGGTATAAAGAAACTTTATTTAAAATAAAAAACAACCAAAAATAAAACCACAAAAAGATAGTAAACTGTTGACACAGAGATATGTCTCATCTATTGGCATAAAATTTAGAAAAAGATAATCTAATGGGCAGCAAAATTGCTTATTAATTTAGTTACTGGACCATGATCTAGTGGGCAGGGCCTGAAAATGGTCAACAAACTGAGATGTACAGACAGTAATGTAACTTTATAGAAAATATCATTGTTTATTGTAAATAGTTCCTATCAATAAAACTTAAGCAGAAAAACTTAACATAGAAAATTGCTGATTAATTCAAAGTCACTGGATCCTGACAAAGGTGGCAGGGCCTCGAAATAGTCATCAATCTGATATGAGCTGATAGTAATGCAACTTCATAAAAAATATCAGTGATCTATCACAAGTAGATCCTATCAAATTGACTAAAGCAGAATACTTAATATTGAAAATTGCTAATTAATTCAAAGTCACTGGACCATGTCCTAGGGGGCAGGGCCTCAAAATAGTCGTCAAACTGACAAATACTGATAGTAATGCAACTTCATACAAAATATCATTGATCTATCACAAGTAGATCCTATCAAACTAACTTAAGCAGAAAAAAATAACATTGAAAATTGCTTATTAATTCAAAGTCACTGTCCAGACCATGTCCTAGGGGACAGGGCCCCAAAATAGTCATCAAACTGATATGTACTGATAGTAATGCAACTTCTGAGTAAATATCAATGATCTATCACAAGTAGTTCCTATCAAAAGTGTTCACATTAAATGAGGAGGAATTCAAACAACTACCAGCTGTCTGCTTTACTCATTTTATACCTCTTAAAAAGACCTTGCATGTCAACATTTTGGGCTATCATCTTCTGTCTTTATATATTTTTGCTTTTCACAAAAATTGCATTATTTTACAAATTTTATTTTTATTATTACATGTAGATATACATATATAATGGATGTTTTTTTGGTGTCATTTTAGGTGGAGCAACACTTATATTTGAGGTAGAACTATTGGATATAAAGAGACAAGATGAGCTGTAGTGATATATTTCTAGTCTGAATACTTCTTGTTTCATTTTCATTATGTGAGGAAAAATTAATGTATAGTGCTAAAAAATGAGTATTCGAACATTTTCACTTGGTTGTCTTGATGTTTATGGCATATGCTATATTATGCAGTATATCTCAGAAACAGTGTATCTCAACTTGTTATAGAAAAAATCAAGGCAATTTAAAACTTAAAAAATTATTTGAGAAATGATTTTGTTTCATTGTCATTGACGTTTATTTTCAGAGGAATCATTTCATTGGTCTGACGACCAAATATATGTATTGCCTATTCATGCTTTATTTGTAAATCTACTGATAAAAATTTGTTAAAAATTTATTTTAAGTATGAAATTGAAATGTTGAAAGATAGTGAGTTCATTTAAAAAATATAAAAATCAGGTTGTAATGGCCTTTTTTCATGAAGATAAAGAGTGAATGCAGAATAGGAAATACAAGTAATAATTTGAACTGTTGCAAGTGTATGTCAGTGTTCATACATCATTTTATTGAACTTACAAATTTGCCTTTGTTTATACATAAATTTTTTATGATTAAAGAGATATATGAATCAGGTGTTTTGATCACAATTTCTGCTATACTTAGTATTAAAGTGTCCTCACAAACATGTTAACATTGTATTATGCTTTTCCTTGGAAAGCAATAATTAGATTAAATAATGTATATTGAGAGAATTTTCAATATTTTTGAAACAGCAAAACAGTAAATTTTGTAGCTTTAAGGGTTTACATTTTTGAAAAACTTTTTTCCAGATTATTTGTATCTACATAATTGAACAAAAGTTTTGATATAAAAGCTTATTGAAAACTTTGTAGTATAAAACTAGAGGCTCTCAAGAGCCTGTGTCGCTCACCTGTATTTACTGATGCTTTGGAAATCATGTAAAATAAGGTTAAAATCATAATTAATAGTATTAGATATTAGATATTATAATGATATCTAAGATAATAACAAAAAACTGCAAAAATTCTGTAAAATTACTAACTCAGGGGCAGCAACCCAACAACAGGTTGTCGGATTCGTCTGAAAATTTCAGGATAGATAAATCTAAATCTGATGAACATTTTTGCCACCTTGTCAGATTTGCTCTCAATGCTTTAGTTTCAGAGATATAAACAAAAAAATGCATTTTACCCCTATGTTCTATTTTTAACCAAGTTGGCCATGATGGTTGGAAGGCGGGGTCATCGGACAATTTTTTTAAACTAGATACCCTAATTATGATTATGGCCAAGTATGGTTAAATTTGTCTGAGTAGTTTCAGAGAAGAAGATAACAAAAATTTACGAAAAATTGTTAAAAATTGACTATAAAGGGCAATAACTCCTAAAGGGGTCGACTGACAATTTTGGTCATGTTGCCTTATTTGTAGATCTTACTTTGCTGAACATTATTGCTGTTTACAGTTTATCTCTATCTATAATAATATTCAAGATAATAACCAAAAACTGCAAAATTTCCTTAAAATTACCAATTCAGGGGCAGCAACCCAACAACAGGTTGTCAGATTTGTCTGAAAATTTCAGGGCAGATAGATCTTGACCTGATAATCAGTTTTACCCTATGTCAGATTTACTCTAAATGCTTTGGTTTCAGAGATATAAGCCAAAATCTACATTTTACCCCTATGTTCTATTTTTAGCCATGGCTGCCATCTTGGTTGGTTGGCGGGGTCATCGGACACATTTTTTAAACTAGATACCCTAATGATGATTGTGGCCAAGTTTGGTTAAATTTGGCCCAGTGGTTTCAGAGGAGAAGGTTTTTGTAAAAAGCTAACGACGACGGACGCCAAGTGATGAGAAAAGCTCACTTGGCCCTTCGGGCCAGGTGAGCTAAAAATGTTCCTTAGTATTTAAAGTGATCTTTTATCTTATACAACAGAGAAGTGAAGCAGGAAGTGAATAATGATGATTCTGTCTGATCATTCATCTGTCAGCTTTTTCTGCAAATCCTCTTCTACTGTCTGTAGAAATTTTCAGAGAACCTAGTTCCTTGTGGCATTCTGCACTGCTTTTATTTCAAATTCATTTTGAGTTTTCGAAGGACTAACATGGATTAAATAGAACTACAAAAGTACGAATGCATCTTGGGTCCACAAATCCTCCATATGATTTCAGAAAAAAAAGTTAGAATGCATTTATGTGCTATTTTAGTATTTTTATTACACTTATCTTTTTGCTGTAAAAAATAGGATGAAAGTTCAATGGTACATACATGTATTCGATTTTATCTTCTGATTGCTTTCCAAGGAAAACCATAATACAATAATTTCTTACAAAATATGCTTCGCTCTATGCTTTTACACAATAAAATGACAAAAAGAAAACAGCTCACTCACCTAAAACGACATCTAGGGGTGGGGGTTGGTAGCTGGGGAACTCTTATTTGTGTTTGTTAGCGGAGAAAGCTAGAGTTGTCGGAGAGAACCATCGACCTGCAGTAGAAACAAAACTAGCAATCCCCGTCAATAAAAGTCGAACACTCCTTGCCAAATGGCGGAGTTGGACTCCCCCAACTAGAATCAATAAGAAAGTACAAAAATGTTTACCTTTGCTCACTTTGTCTTTAACAAGAAATAATGTTATATCATGGTTGGTTAGTGCTTTAGAACTTGTAACAGTTCATGACTGCCTCAGTGGTCTAATGCTCGCTTAAAGTGTGAGATGTTGTGGGTTCTATCCCTGAACAGGTCAAATCATAAGATTTGAAAATTGGTATTTGCTGCTTCTCCACTAGGCACGCTATTTAGGAGTAAGAGCAAAGACTGGTTGGATTTGAGTCACAATAATGTATCCAGGTAAGGCTGAATGTTTACCTTGTGACTAGCATGTTAAAAATCAAACTTGGCATGTTGATGTTGTACAAATCAGGGCTCATATTAATATTGAATTAAATGTACACATCCTGACATGCATGTAATAGTTGCCACTGGACCTTAAACACAAATCAAGCAATCTATGTCACAGCTCATTTTGTATCTGATTTGACCAAGCATTCATGCAAATATTCCTTTTTCAATTGTTCTTACCAAGAAGACAAACATTTGACACAATTGAACTTTAGACTGTTTAATGAATGGACATGAGATGCAAGAGTTATATTGATCAATTCCTGGGAACTTGTATGCAAGCCTGTTCGTGGTTTACCTATACTCACGAAACCTTCAGAAGTCGGTATCCCACTAGTAATGATGAAACCACAGTACATGAATAAAAGGTGATGGTGAGTTTGTGTCAATGAGACAGCAACCCAACATGTTACATCACAATTGAGCCATTTCTAGATGACACAAGTTTTATTTTCTTCCTCATTGGTACAGACTAGATTGTATAAATGATATAGCAGAGGAATATTATAGGATTAAACACATTTTTTCTATAAGTTGTTGATAGGTGAACTCACAAACTGAATAAAAGTCTGAAGAACTACAATGTCAAGTTTTTAGCTAAGCGACCTTGTTTACACATCAATAACCTATAGAAAAAATGTGTTTAATCCTTATAATTCTTAACCAAAACATTTGAATTTTTTATTTAACATTTTTTTTTCATTGGCTCTATTTATCATCAAATGTACAATTGGCATTTCATAACTAAGGAATTAACTGCCATATTGACTTTCTGAAATATGAAGCATACAAGTTATGGTATACCCTTCAGCTTGAGAGTTTTCATTTGTATGATGTCATGTTTGCCATTCTTTGGTCTCTGGTGGAAAGTTGTCTCAGTGTGGCAATCATACCAAATCCTACCTTAATATGTATTAACATGTGGCAGCTTTAAAAAATGATTTGGTCTATTTGAGTGTCACTGATGAGTCTTTTGTAGACAAGCGTGTCTGGCTACATAATATGAATCCTGGTATCTATAAGGAGTTTGTTTATGTAAATACATGTACATTTTGTTGATAGAGAATCAGATCTGTATTTAATTATACCCCACACAACGAGTTGCAGAGAGTATAATGTTTTTGACCCATTTCTAGGAGTTACGCCCCTTTGAACTTATTTGCTTCAATATACCTATGCAACAGTTTGCCATCGCAACTCCTCTGAAACCACACAACAGAATTTCATGAAACTTTGTAGATAATAAGGACATACTATGTAGATGTGCATATCGACAGGAAATTATGATTCAATTTTTTTTTCTTATACAATTTTTTTTTCTTACAGTTATTTTATTTCTCCAGTGACAATGTGGGGACGTGGGGTATGTGAGTGTGCTCACTAAGGTTCTTTAATTTTAAATGATGTTTTGTCTAGTTTATAAACATTAAAATTCGGAATTTCTTATCATGTACTTTGCGAGGCCCATATGCTTCTAATGATGTGTGTTACATTACAACAAAGTGGTGTAGGTAACAGTTGAAGGATATTGTCATTAGCATACAAACACAGGTCACAAAGAAATGGACTGAAATCTTAACCAATGGCTCTGGTGTAAAATGAAGGTAAAGACAACCTTCTTGTAATTATTGCTGAACTATTTTGATCTCTCGACATTAACAGCTTGCTTAGAAAATCAACTGAACTGCTGTCAACATCAAAACTGCTTAAAAGACTCCAAATTTTCTAGATTCAAGCTAAATTTAAGGTTTCTAAATAGTTTGATGAGTTTCAAAATTCATAAGCTATATATAAATTTTGATGACTTCCCAGTTTCCATAATGCCTAGACCAAATAAAGTTATCAGACCATAAAAGCATATTTGTATAAAATGGTTTTATTGTTATATGAATGAAAAGTGCAATCAGAAACATGTACAAAGTAAAAGTTGATCAAATTCTATCAAAGGTGTGTTGTACTATGTCTATGGAGGAGGTATGTAATGATCACCCTGTCTGATTATTGTAGTTTAATGTTTCATAAGAAATATTTTCTTCATTATCATAAATTTATGATAATCACAGTTCTAAAATTATCTTTGCACTCAATATATGCAATAAGGAAAAATATTTACCTTAATAATACAAATGCTGTAATATTGAGTTTAATGGTTTTTTTTAATCAAAGCTACATTGTTGGTATCTATCTCAGCAGGTTTGGATTTCAAAAATTATTCATGCCTTATCAAATTGTAGCTAAATTTCTGAAATGGTTATGATGTGGGCTTTATTGTTGTCTTTTTTTCCAGCAAACTATGAAATTAATACTAAGACCACAAGCTAAACTTACATTCTAAAATGAAGAATTCATTTGGCATGTAATTGCTTCCCTCAAAAAGAAAGTTTACATTTCAATAAAATAGTCCATGTCTTCCCTCTAAAAAGAAAGTATAGGTTTCAATGAAATAATTCTGAAAAGTTGAGAACACTGCTGACAATAATTTTAGAAATAAAAATTATTTTATTTATCTTTAAACAGTACCTCCTTCATACACATTTTGTACTCAAATTATTTCAAACGAACTCCTATGTTCTATACTAAATGAAAAACATAAGACTGAAACCAGCTCATTGAATAGTAAGTAGATGTTGTCAATTTTACAACATAAAGAATTATATATTAACAAATTTTCTTGCAACTAATCAATTCAGTTTCCATTTT